CCCACTCCACACATGCTCGTCTCCCCGCCCTGGCCCCGTCACACCTATGGCTGCTCAGAGTCTAGCACGCCTGTCACCCTCTTCCTCTCATGGCTCCCCAGCTCCCTCCATGCCCGAGGGGCTCCTCCGCGCCCCTCTCAGCTCATCCCAGGGCCCCCACGCCCCCCAGGCCACCCTTTCCCACCTCAGTGTCTCCCAGCAGTCTCTGTTCCAGGCCCTGCCATGAGGCCACCCCAGACGCCCTGTGTCCACGCAGACAAGGCACCTCATGGGGCCTCCCACACTTGTTTTCTTCCTTCCCGGGATCCACCCCCATGTCGCCCATCTCCCAGCGCACTCACTGCCCACCCCGCCCCTCACCACAGGGCGCCAATGCAGTGCAGACGCCACCACCAGCCTCCAGCCCCCGCCCCAGGGCTGAAGGAAGCCACTTACCTTGTTGGGTCCAGAGTCCTGAAAAGGAAGAGACAGAGAGAGGCTGAGGCCTGGAGCGAGGCTGGCGCAGGCTGTGGGGGCGGAAGAGCAGGTGGCCCAGCTCCCTTGCCCCGGCCGTGACTCAGGCTCTACCGCCGCGTGGTCTCCTTGACAGCAGCTCCCCCGGGGCAGGATCCCCTCCAGGGCTGCCCTTCCCTAGCCCAGGCCATTGGTGGTGCTGGGGGACAGGGCTGCCTGCTGCACAGGGCCAACTGTGGCTACAGCCCCAATTTACAGGCGGGGAAACTGAGGGTCCCGGGAGAAACCAGGGCCACTACCCCTTCTCCAGCATGTGACACTCTGGCCATCTCTGGGCTCTCCCTTGAACCCAGCCACCTCCCAGACACATGGCCTGGAAATGGGTGACAGGGGCAGGATAGGGGCCCCGAAGACCCCCGGGGGTCTGGCTGCAGAAGCCGGGCTGGGCCACTCACCATTTCAGCCAGGGCGGAGATGACCTTGCCCAGGGTGGTCAGCGACTTGTTGATGTTGGCGCCCTCCTGTGGGCAGAAAAGACAGTGGGGTTGGGACACCGGGGACCCCTGGGGACTCCTGCTCTGGAGGGACGCCTTGCGTGGACCTGTGCGGTGTGGAGTGGAGGCCACCACCGCAGCTGCTGCTCTCTGGGGCCACAGAGACATGGGGTGCCCTGGCAGAAAGCCAGCTGGAGCCTCTGGCCGGGAGCACATCTCCCAGTGTTGCCTTCAGTGCCATGAAAACCCTGATACCATCCCGTGTCCCCCTGAAACGCTTCCGGGGCCCCTGCCCAAACATCAGGTGCTGAGGTCAGCGGGGATCGAGGAAACACACTCCTTCCTGACCCTGGCACTGCTTTCCCAGGGGTGCCCCGGCCTCTGGCGCAAAATCCTCGGGGCCCAAAAGAGGCCACCGTCCCGCCAAGCCCCTGACCTGTGTGCCCAGCGCTGGTGCCCCAGACACAACCCTCAGTTGCTGGCAGCCCAAGACCCCAGCCTATGCCCACCCTCCCTGAGCGGGCTCATCCTCAGGGTGGCCCAGGCCCCTGGGACCCCAACAGAGCCCTCCTGCCGCCCACCCTGGAGCAGGCCAGGTGTGGACATGGGACCCACTGCAGTCCCTGCATGGCGGCATGGTCCCTACCTTGAGGCGTGTGCCCTTGGCTCCCGTGGAGTCGGCCCGCTCACTCCCAGCCAGGTCCACCAGGCTGATTTTGCTCACCTGAAACAGCAGACGCGTCACATGCACGAGAGGCCGCAAGATGCACGGGGGCGTCCCAGGACCCCTGGGCAAGATCTCCATGGCTGCTGAAGGAGCCCCAGCCAAGCGTCCCCTCCACAAGGCGCCACCCCTCCCCAGGCCCAGCAGTCCTGTCCCCGCAGTTTCCACCTGCACCTCCGTCCCAGCTCTCCCCACGCCCTGCCCGAATGAGTGCACAGCCACCTCCCCAGGGGAGCATGGGCGCTGCCACCACACGCCAGGCACTTTTCACACAAGGGCACACTCTCTCCCCACGGCACCCATGAGGTGCGACTGTCACTGTCCTCACTTCCACAGATGGTGCTCAGTGTCCGTGGTGGGATTGGAACCCAGCTCCAGGAGGCCCTGGCCCTGCTCAGCCACCTCACGGGCCATGGCTGCACCTAGCAAAGTGGGCACCAGCCAGGCTCCTGACAGGGGCACCTGCAGCCTGGGGTGGGAGGCCCTGCACCGAGAGGCCCGGCCCCTCCTGAGCCACAGCTGCAGGGCAGGACTTGCCCACAGATACCGCAGGACTCCCTCAGTGCCCACCAGCGAGGGCAGCAGGGCAGGCAGTTGGGCCGACCTCATCCAGCTTCACCCCCGTCTGTCCCCCAACCCACCTCAGCCATCCTGAGACCCCGCTCACTGTTTGATGGAGTCCCGGTCAGGAGGATGTGCCTGGCAGACCTCCAGCACCATCCGGGACTGAGCAGTCCTCCCTCCACTCAGCACCTTTGTGCTCCCCACGCGGCTGCCTGAACGAGCCCCCAACCGGGAGATGGCTGAGGTGCCCCCGGGCCTAGATGGCTGGGGCGCGAGGGCAGGAGGCAGAGTCAGAGATGGTCAGGGAGAGGCTGGGTGCCCTCCCACTGCCCCTCCTAGAAGCCTGGACTGGCTGTCCAGGCAAAAGCCCCAGAAGACGGACCCCTGGCCTGGTCCGTGGAGAACACCAAGGCATGGGAGAAGGGCCTCTGGGGCAGGGCGGGGGACGTCCGCACCTAGTGCCAGTGTAAGTGTGAGGACACTGCCCGCCCCGCACAGGCCAGCATTGGGCCCAATGTCCTTGTGCTGCCCCCACTGGCCTGACCTCCACCCCCACCCCGACCACCAACCACTGCCCTCGGTGGCACCGCCTGTGAGGCCATTCACTCACCTTCTCCGTGGTGATGTTGGTCTCTGCATCATGGCGCTTCTGGGTGAAAATGATGTTGAAGACAGCGTGGGAGCGGCTGCTGGTCTCATTCATGTTGGTGGCCGCCACGGTCCTGAGGAGCAGAAAGCCACACACGGTTACCCCTCGTCCTGTGGCCGGGTGCAAGTTCACCGGTGGTGCCAGCCCTCCAAACCAGGTCATCGGGGGGCAGCTCCCCCAGACCCCAGGAGCCACTCTGCCGGTCCTGGCACTGATGGTCCCACCTGCCAGGACTCCAGCAAGGCCCACGGCCACCTGCCCACAGTGGCATCCTCAGCCCCAGCCCTTGCCTAGTGTATTCAGGGCAGCAGTAGCTGGGGAAGCATCCCACTCCTGGGCACAGAGAAGCCCATGCAGTGCCCAGCTGGGCAGGAGCCCTCCATGGCCATGATATGGGAGGGGAAGGGGCTGTCCACTGTCCACCCTACCACGGCCCACACCCGTGGCTCTGGGAAGCCAAGGAGCCTGCCACACCCCACAGGAGATGTCATGGGTCAGCAGGGCGGTCCTCCAGAACGGGAAGCCCAAGGCTGCTGAGGGTGGCCTGGAGTTGGTCCCGATGCCACCCTGACCTGCCAGGGACCTCAGGAAAGGCTCCCAAGACTCAGCGGATGGCATGCGGCAACCCAGGGCCCGCTCCAGCAAGGAGTCACAGTGATGGCCACGGTGCGCTGTGGACCTCATCAGGAACAGTACCCCCACCCACTGGCCCTTGTGGGGCCACCGAAGGGGTGCAGGATGGCGCAGAGTGTGACTCACAACCTCAGGAACTGAGAGTGACAGGGACCATCACCTCACCCTCAGGAAGTCCTGGGTGTCGGAGGGGGTCTGTTGCCATGACAACCAGGGCATCCCAGGCAGGAGGCCCAGGGCAGCAGAGGCCAAGGAGCCGGGTTGTTTATTGCTGTAGCACTGTGCAGCCAACCACCCCCCACATGCCCCGACCCCAGCACGCTGGCCCCCACACAGAATCTGGACCCCTGGGACTGGCAGAACAGCTGCCCCACCAA